ATATATTATTTTATGATAAACACTGAATAATCAGTAATGTAATTTATTTAATTTATTTTAGATGTAGATTATATACTACGTATAACTTGAATTATACACCAACAACTTTGGGGGTACAAAGTTGAAGAGAAATTATATCTGGGGGTACGCGAACAAAAAAGGTTGAATACCACTGTTCTAGACCAGTGGTATCAACCTGGGGTACCCGTACCCCCGGGGGTACGCGAAGACATCTTAGGGGGTACGTGAAATTTAAAAAAAATTATGATAAACACTGAATAATCAGTAATGTAATTTATTTAATTTATTTTAGATTTAGATTATATACTACGTATAACTTGAACTATACACCAACAACTTTGAGGGTACAAAGTTGAAGAAAAATTATATCTGGGGGTACGAGAACAAAAAAGGTTGAATGCCACTGGTCTATTCAATTCAGATTCTCAAGACTAAAATTTTGTAATGTATGGCCGATCGTCCTAAGACTTCGTGTAAAGTACAAAATACGAAGGTCTTCACTGCGTGGGTTTTAGTAACTAATTTATACAAACATAAAAAGAAATGTTATTTTAATTTCCTTTGTTCTTATTATTTTAAAATGAAGGTAGACGAATAAAATTCCGCTAACATTTCGGGAGACTTCATTGAAAAAACGCTGCTTCTGTGAAGACCTGCAGCGGGGCTTCTGTGACAACGCGGAGAATATTTAAAAAATTACAAAAGAAGACCCAGAAGGGAAATGAGAGATGAATTAAAGCGGAGAGCTCATAATGTGACTGACACTAATGGTAGATCCGTAAACATTAAATCCTGAAATATAAAATATGCGTAACATATGTTACTCCGCTGTCAAAAATGCAGCCGCACTGTTCCGAATTTAATTGTGCTGGTTGTTATTTCGAAGATCACGTGAATGAGGGTTGTCAAGGGATATTATGACACCCAGAACTAGAACACGTCTTCTTTTTTACAGTTTTGAAATTGGCAACAAAAGAGGTTCAAGGTATCTGGAGCACAATCAGTGAACAGCAGAAACACACGCTGCATGGCCAAAATGTAACGTCAGCAACTACACAAACAAACAGTAAAATATTTCCTCCTGCAGGATTTGTAATTAGCAGCATTTTGGCTCGATTGCAGCTACACAACAGATGACGCGGAATGGGTGATCAAATTTCGCGGGGCTGTGGGGAGGGTTTGCTGAAGACATACTTTTCCCAGGTGGCGTAAACGATGAAATGTTGTCGGCTGCCCACAAACCCACACGGAGTTACAAACCAGAAGACAAACAGAACGTCTTTACTCATGTCCTAAGTCTGCATCTTCCAAGTGGTCTATTCCAGTGGTATTCAACCTGGGATACGCGAAGACATCATAGGGGGCACGTGAAATTAAAAAAAAAAAAAAATTACGATAAACACTAAATAATCAGGGCCAGATTTAATAACATTATTTCGGACGTAATTTATTTTAGATGTAGATTATATACTATGTATAACTTGAATTATACACCAATAACTTTGGGGGTACAAAGTTGAAGAGAAATTATATCTGGGGGTACGCGAACAAAAAAGGTTGAATACCACTGTTCTAGACCAGTGGTATCAACCTGGGGTACCCGTACCCCCGGGGGTACGCGAAGACATCTTAGGGGGTACGTGAAATTTAAAAAAAATTATGATAAACACTGAATAATCAGTAATGTAATTTATTTAATTTATTTTAGATTTAGATTATATACTACGTATAACTTGAACTATACACCAACAACTTTGAGGGTACAAAGTTGAAGAGAAATTATATCTGGGGGTACGCGAACAAAAAAGGTTGAATACTACATTTCACATTTGACGACATGTTTCGGTGTATTTAAAACAGTTTTAAATTGATTGACTTGATGATGGTGAAATACACCGAAACATGTCGTCAAAATGTGAAATGTATCAAGATCTAATTCTAAAAAATGTTGTAATTTTATGTAATCTTAAGTAATTTTAACAACATTTAAGTTTGTGTATGGACGGTGAATAAATTATTATATTGATTAAACACAAACATGACGCAGTTAAGATATAAATTAAATAAAATTTTGTTAGTTGATAGAAAATAGCGGATTGTCATTACTAAAGATGATAACACTATTCGTTTCCGGGTACAATAATAATTAAATATATTTTGGTGATAGTATGTTGGTAACAAAAGCACTATTACGCGTTGCAGCCAAACAATACGAAGTTCTCAACAAAGCCAACAACAAAAGAGCAAACGAGTACAGAAACCGCGGTTGCAACCTGCGGCCCGAGGGCCATATGAAGCATCCGGAACTATTTTATGGGGCCCGTAACGTGATTTGGAACAAGACGATGAGAGAGGAGAGAGAAATGAAGTATTTTTGCTTTCATTTGTTTAATAAAAGCTTTACTACACGTAAACTACTCACATGTTCAGCGACAAATATATCAACAAGGAGTGTTCGTGAAGCAGTCGTCCATGATTAAGGAAATTCTCTGGCCAACTGGGACCTGCAAGGGAACGCCGTCAGTGGTGCTTGAGGAAACTATCCAGAAATAATATCTAAAAATCGTTACCATGGCATTGCACAGGAAAAATAATGCATAATTAGGCGGCTTGTACCATCTCCTTTTCTTGATATGTTTACCTTTCTACTCTCTTTTTCGAACTTACTACATAACTTATTCAATCCACGGAGCAGATTCCTTCTTGAGAAACTTACAGTCGCTCAGTTAGTCAAGAAAGTTGGCGTCTTTCATGAAACAATAAGGTTCATTACCGTGGTTCGCATCCTATGCCTGTCCCCGAGTCAGATCCATTCATTACACACAGTCAAACCAGTTTCCTTTGCTAAGGTCGAACGAACGAATACGAGCACGTTTAGGCTCTGTAACGTTTCACAAAATGCTGATTTTTTATGACCGTACCACCAAGCTCAAGGGTCACCACTTGTCGGTTGTCCGGGATTACTTATAAAATATATCCGCGGATACTTCCCTGTAACCGCCACGGTGGTCTAGCGGTTAGAACGCTGGGCTTGTAATCCTGGGGGTCTCGGGTTCAATTCCCGGCGGTGCCCGAATTTATAACTTGTGTTGGGCAAGGCCGTGGTCTAGGCAACACGGAGTTTTCCTCCGGGGGCTTCCCCGGTTTCTCCGTGGCATCCCAACAATTACTCCATTCACACACAGAAGAAGGCAATGGCAAACCACTTCTGGATCATCTGCTAAGAACGTATATGAACAGGTCCCAGTCCGAGAAAAGGATGGAAGGATCCTGTTCATATGGACCTGTCGTCAGACAGAACAATAAATAAACAAATAAATCTAAATAAAAACCCGCGGCATGACCTGTAATATAAATACAAGAGACGGTGATGTTGTCCAAATTGTATATAACGGACGTCCGAGC